GATTATTAAATTTTACAAACCTTCCCCAACCTGTGAATTCCAATAAAGTAACAATTATTGGTAATAATAATGGTAATAATTAATATTCAATCATTGACTATTTTCATTTTTATTAAATTAACAATATCTATTAATATTCATTCTTGTGATAAATATTTGTAGATTCTATACAAATTGATTTAGCTATACCAGATGACTTATTTGAATAAGTTAAATCTTGTCACTTATTATGTATTATTTATTTATTTTTATTATCTGGCTACTATAGTTTAAATGTCTTGAGTAATGATATTATATAATAACTTCTTTGGATTTTTGAAATTTGGATTGCCAAATATGCATGCTAAATAAAAAATAATAATTTTTGACAAAAAAATAAATGTAAATTTTTAATAATCATTGTTATCATTCATACATAATTGCATATTGTTTGTTTCTTACCTTTTCAAATCAATGGTTTCATTTTTTATAATATTCACAAATTGAAGTGATGTACTATCAATATATCATATAATATACCAATAATTTATTAATATTAAATATTTTAAAATTTAATACACATGTATCTGAATAATTTAAATATCAAGTAAAAAGCCAACTGACACAACTACAGTATACTGATTGTGAGTTTTGTTGAATCAAACAATGTCATACTCCTGATCTTATTTGGAAACCCTGACATGGAATCTTTGATGTTTATTCCAATAAGAAAGGACACTATGAGTACATTAAAGAATACCACCTTCAATAGATATCTAGGTCCTGTTTGTGTTGGTACTAGCCACATTGATGCTTGAGAGAAGAAGAAATTTTAAAAATTAGAACCAGGTACTGGCCACCAAAAATGTAAACATCTATCAAAAACCACAACCTTGCCATTTGAATTTCCTTTTTAAAAAGAAATAAATGTGTAAAGGCTTCCTCAGACCTTCTACACCTTGGTGATGACCAAAGACCAATGGACCCACTTGCATGAAATGGTAATACTATGCTAAGCAATCACCCATTGCACATTTACCTGCACTACCATAATATGCCAGAACAAGTTGTGGAAGGACCTGGGATGGTGAATTAGGCCTTTCTTCAAACATGATCACATGCACAACTTTACCTAAATGAAAAAAATAAACAACTCACTTAATGCAACCCATGCAGACATTCCATCATGGAAAAACATTGTATAATTTGGTCATGAAGTATCAGATTACACCATTGTAACCATCAAATGAAGAATTATGCTACAAAGGGTTCCCTCAGCTGCTATCTGACAAAACCTAGTGCTAACCCAATGCCTATTGTTGTGTAAAGCAAGAAGACAGGATGGTCATCCCTGATATGGAATGGTCACATAAATTTTCAATATGTGATGTCCACAGGATTTGTAAATACTGAAAACATATCATGATGAGGAGGCTAGATGCAATGGAATTGATGATATTTTTGCTCCAATACCTAGTAAACAGACATTGAAAGTGATGAGAGGAGTGGTGAGGGCAAGTAATCCTTGCTGTGATGAGTTAGATTCATCATTAAGATTTTAAGCATCTTGAACTTCTGATAGGGCTTTATTTAAAGAAATACTTTCAAGCAATGCTCCTTTTTTACTACTCCTTAGGGCTTCTATTCGAATAAAAATTAATATTAATTCAGAATAAAATAGATTCGAATAAGAAAATTAATTCGAATAAGAAAATTAATTTGAATAAAGCAAATAATTCGAAAAAATTAATTCGGATAAAACAAATAATTAAGATCCAGTTTAAATTCAAGCTCACTGGAAAGATTGCTATTTATTTAAAAAGAAACATGAATCTTGTTTCAGTCTTTCCTTATTAGTTTCATTTAGTGGTCGTATCCGCCAAATGATATTCATCGATTATTCACCGATTATCCAGTTAATCGGGTGTTGAAAATTTTTCATTGATTAATTAATCGGGTGTTGAAATTTTTCACCAGATAATTGGTGAATAATCGAGGGTACAGAAATATAGAAAATAAAAATTTTTGAAAGAATATATACATTAAGTATAAGATATTGGGCAGGCGACGTCCAATATCATGTTAATACTATTTTATCCACTATTTCACTATCACCAACATTCTTTCTATTATAATAATATATCAAGTAATATGAATACTAACTGTGTCATTATTATTTAAAGAATATTTATGCATTGCAGTAACTTCTACTCCAAATGAGTGACCTTGTCACAGCGGGCTATAATTATAACGGATTTTTAAATTTTTGCTTCACATTCACATTAAAATATAAAAACATAAAAAATCCATTGTGGCAAGATCAGTAATCTTGCCACAACGGGTTTTAAATAAATCTTCATTCATCCGCTGATACAAGGTTTGACTGTATTTAGTGAAGCTAGAAACACACAATGACAGCCAAACAAATAAAATTGATCTGTTGTTATTTGTATTTCTTAAAAAAAAATATGCATATTCAATGGATATTCGGTGGATATTCGGCGGATATTTGGTGAATTACTGATTATCCGGGTGTTGAATTTTATTGACTGACCGATTGTCCGGATGTTGAGCTTTATTATTATTGATTGACCAAGTACTCGAACACCCGGATAATCAACGGATACAACCACTACATACTACATTTTTGAAATAATCAATTTTGTTACACAAATTAATTTTATATATAGTTTATAAAATTGTAATGCAAAAGAAAAGGGAAAGAAAATTAATTATTATAAATGATAATGATGATAATAATAGTATTGATGTAATCTATGCGAAAATTCTAAAGAAAAAAAAACTATTTAATGATGATAGTATGTTGATGATGCTTATAATAAATGAACATGATTATAATAAATTAAGATATAAATTAATAAATAATAAATTAACAGCGTATTAAGATGATGCCAAAAACTTCCCACTAATAGCTTGACATATAACTTTGTTAAAATTAATAATAATATTTTTGTTGTGATTAAAATAATCTCCTTTTATGTTACCATTTCCATTTGAAAGGGATACTGTTTCAATAGAAATGTCACTAAACAAACGCCCTTTACATTTAAAATTTACTGCAGTAGGCGCAGGTTCTGATTTTTGATTTGCTTCAAGTCTTGCTAAAATGGTTTTTTTCTCGGAAATTGCTGAAAGATCAATATCGTCAACTTGCCAACATATTCTTTTTTGTTTCTTGCTCCATATACTAATTGGTTTAGATTGTACTATGTCAACATTTCCATCAACAGGTATGATAAATGAAAGCTCTGAAAGTACACCTGAAAGCTTACATTCTGAGTTGGGATGATATGATATTGCAATTAACGTCACATTAGGTTCACATTTCCACCAAGGATGTACATGCAACGGTATAAACTTGCTTCGATCATCTGGATCGATGTGAACCTGATATTTCATTACAACGACCGGAAAATTGTCTGTTGAAAATAATGATCCGATATCCACCTCATATTCGCCTAATTTATCTGCGATAGGCTTGAAAACTGATAGATTTGGGACAAAATTTTCCAAATTTTCCAAATTTTTGATCCTGACACGTAATGGCGGATAGTTATTGGCATCGTATACCATTGATAGATTATGTGAAAAGCTTATTTCTCCTGTTAAAAGAAACTTTGTAATTTCACCATCTTTTGTGATTACATTTAAAGTCTCGGTAATTGATGCAGATAATTCATATTTTTTAATTTCTGGTTCTGTGACAAATTTTGTATGGCTTACATTATTTGAGGAGAATTCGGATAGGGGTCGTGTTGAGCCATTTGATTCATTAATAGGTACTGAATTAGTACGTTGTGGTGAAATATAATTGCCATAAATATTATCGCTGCTTTGTGAATTAGTCATTCTCCATTGACTGTGTAGAGGAATTAATTGTAAATATGATTACTATCATTTCTTTATAAGAAAGGAAAATGTTTGATTAGAGTGAGAGGAGGAAAAAAGAAATTTTTTTGCTAAATCTTACTCTCTTTTACCACGTGTTGTTAGATTATGCCTCTATTTATCAAGAATGATTGAATATAAGATACTAAATAAAATATTTATTTATTTAATAATGTTTTTTAAAAATAAAATAATCTTACCAATTTAAGTGCTGTGACGACCGAAGAGAGAGCGGCAGCATCTGCTTCATTTTCTTCTGTTATAGTAGATTGTTTAATTTCTACACGCATTTTTTCTTGAGCTGAGAGTGAACTGTAATAAATTGCAAATCTTCATCAGTTATAATAATAATAATAATGATGATAATATAATAATAATAATAACAATAAATGAATTAAATTAAATTATTAATAATAATTAGCACAATCGATATTCACCTTGAAGCGTCTTCCGATCGTGCATCCGAATCATTTCCGTCGGTTGATGAAAAGGTTTCCCATGGTTTATCGGAAGATGGCGGAATGGAATAACCTTCTGAATCAACTAAAACCTTCGGCTAGATTGATTAATAAAATTTGTTGGTTAAAGAATTTTGTAGCGAATTAATTTTTTTATGAATTATGTACAAATTGTTAACTCACCACATTGGTTTCAGTAGGTGAAGTTTTCTCATTTGAATGTGCAAATGAATCACCCGAAGGACTCGTAAGTCCGCCATTTCTTGCTTCAGTGGCAGTAGTTGTCGATCGTGTTGTATCACTAATTGTTAAAGATATTAGAGAATAAAACCATTATATATATATATATTGATTAAAAAAGAGAAGCCAAATAAAAATAACTAGTTGCATACATATTATTTGAATTTGGGTCTTTTTTACGTTTAAAAATCTTCTTCACTAATTAATGTATATTGAATTATATTCTTCAATTGCATTTTATATATATTTATAAATATATTGGTTGAAAATAATAAATTTTGCTTACTGCTGTTAATAGAAATTTAAAACTTATAAAATTTCCAGCTATATAAAATGTGAAATTTGAAATTATTTGGTAAATATTTCATTCATAATGTCAAAAAGTTCAAACTCAATTAATTGATAACCGCAAATATTTTTTTATTGATTTACTAAACCTATAATGTTTTTCTACAACTTTCAATTAGTTTAATATTTTAGTTGATAACAAGGCAATCGAGACGACAAAAAATTAAAAGTTTGTTGAAAACTAAAAAACCAATTTTTTTTGAAAAATATGAACTGTGTGCTACCACACTTTACATGTCACGAAGTTACACTGAATTATAGCTGCATAAAAAAATTTAATAGATCAAAACGATATATTATTGTATTGAAAATGCGGAAGAACATATAAGCTACCCCTTATTATTTATTATAATTTAAAAGCTCATTACTAGTAGATTATTATTCGCAAATTTATACGTTTCCGTTTTATAAAATGTTTAATTCTTTATCCAAAAAACTCAATTCCACTCTACTGCCACCCATTGTTAGTCTGGTAAGAATTCACTTAATAAAACTTTCTTTAATCATATCATTTTGATGTACTATTTTAATTCAATTAATATAAATTTTAAAAAGTTGAATTTATCATCATTTCAAAAACGAACTTACCTGGCATCGACTTATAACGAACATATAGCTGGTCTAACAGCTGAACAGAATAACGTAATTTTAATTCTTAAATTTTCTAAATTATAACAATGATAATACAAAACAGACTAATCTTTCTTTTACTTATAGCTTCGAGAAACTGTTAAGAATTTTTGCCAGAAGGAACTCGCGCCTCGTGCCTCAGAAATAGATAAAAAAAATGAATTCCCAATGGTAAGAAATAATATATAATAATAATACGTTCATCTATGACCTCGTAAATTAACCAACTATAATTAATATGTTCTAACAAAGGATATGTGGAGAAAGTTTGGTAATATGGGAATTTTAGGTGTCACAGCACCAGAAATATATGGTGGATTAAATTTAGGTTACTTGGAACATACTTTTATTATGGAGGAAATATCAAGAGCATCAGGTTCTGTTGCTCTTTCCTATGGAGCACATTCAAATTTATGTGTTAATCAGATCGTACGAAATGGTAACGATAGCCAGAAAAATAAATATTTACCTAAAGTATTTACTCTATATAAATAAATTTTTTTAATAATCGATTTTTTTTTAATAAACAAAAATTATTCAAAATCTTTACTGATTTTAATTTTAGCTAATTTCTGGTGAATATATTGGAGCACTTTCAATGTCTGAACATAATTCCGGCTCTGATGTAGTATCTATGAAACTACGTGCTGAAAAAAAGGGAGATCGATATATTCTTAATGGAAATAAAATGTGGATTACAAATGGTCCTGATGCAAATGTTTTAATAGCTTACGCAAAGACAGATCCTCAAGCAGGATCCCGTGGTATTACTGCTTTTTTGGTGGAAAAAGTATCATCACCATCATCATCATCATTAATTTGGTTTTATTTCTCTAATAAATAACAAGATTAATAAATAATAACAAAATTGTAAAATATTTATCGTTATTATTATTAGGGGTTTAAAGGATTTTCAACTGCACAAAAGCTTGATAAATTGGGCATGAGAGGATCCAATACTTGTGAATTAATTTTTGATAATTGTGAAGTTCCAGGTAACTTGAGATAAAATAAAAATATTTCAAAAGAATTTAATTTAATTTAATTTAATTATTATATTTAATTTAATTTAATTATTATATTTAATAAAGATGAAAATATATTAGGCGAAATAAACAAAGGGGTTTATGTACTTATGAGTGGGCTTGATCTAGAAAGACTTGTTCTTTCAGGTGGACCATTAGGGTAATAAATAAGTTTCTTTTGGATGTTATTATTTTTCAATTCATTTACTAATAAATAAATAAATATATTCCTTCAATAACAACATTCTGTCAGTTTGATGCAAGCTGCTCTAGATATTGTTGTTCCATATGTACATACACGTAAACAATTTGGAGAGCCAATAGGACATTTCCAATTGATCCAAGCAAAATTAGCTGACATGTATACTAAACTCAATGCTTCTAGATCATATGTATATTCAGTGGCCAGGGCATGTGACAGTGGTCATATTTCTAATAGGGTAATTTATTAATTAATACAGTTGGTGTATATGCTTTTGACCTACTTAATTTATTAATCTTCTTCTTATGAATAATAATAATAAAAGGATTGTGCTGCTGTCATATTGAATGCAGCTGAACGAGCCACAGAAGTCGCATTGGACGCTATACAATGTCTTGGTGCGAATGGATATATAAATGATTATGATACTGGTCGTATTCTTAGAGATGCTAAATTGTATGAAATTGGAGCAGGAACTAGTGAAATTAGAAGATTGGTTATTGGAAGGTGAATATTGTTTAGTTAAAATGTATCATTTAAATAATACCATAGTAATGTATAATAAACCGTTTATTATCATCAATTTTTTACAGGGAATTCAACAAAGAATATAAAAAAAATTAAATTATTTATTATTTATTTAATATAAAAATTGCTTATTTTATCCATAAATAAATTCATTGACTCATGTACGATTTTGTCACGATAACATGTCTATACTTTATTAAGTAAAATAATATAATTGAGATATACATAGGAATTTCTAACTTTTATTTTAAAATCTTTTTATTTTGAAACCGAAAATTTTTTTAATGGGTGAAAATTAACATGTGATATCCATTTTTATACTACCCACTAATATCAGTATTTATTTGTCAGCCTGTCAAAAATACGAGATTTTTTTTTTCTGAAAATATATTAAAATTTAAAAAATTTTTTTGAAAAAAATGTCATCAGCCTCTAAACAAAAACGTATGGCAAAAAAAGCAGCCAAAAATGCAACAACATCTGTAAACAATGCATCAGCTTCTGAAAATAAGAGCAATAGTACATCTTCGATTAAAAATCAAACTGATCAAGATACACCAGATTCGATTGCGGCAGCAGTAAACGGTTTGTCTTTGGAATCAATGAAGAATGCAACTGAAAGAACTGCAACTGGTGTTTTGACCTCACAACCGATGTCAAGAGATGTAAAAATCGAACAATATACATTGTCATTTTATGGACGTGTATTAATTGAAAATGCCACGATCGAACTAAATTTTGGTAGAAGGTAGTTAATTGCACGAATGATTTTTTTTTTGAATCTTTAAATAATATTCATTAATCAATTAATGATGCGTTTTTAAATTTTTATTTAGATATGGTCTTATTGGATCAAATGGAAGTGGAAAGGTATTTGGTTTTTACTATTTAATAATAACAAAACTTTATATTATTAATATGCAGAAGATCGATCGGCTTGATTTAATCTAATTGGATTTTATTTTTTTAAAAAAAGAGTACATTTCTAGAGTCTTTAGCTGCAAGAGAAGTGGAAATTCCTGACCACTTGGATGTATGTAAATTAATTAATTAAATTATTAGCATTGTAATTTCAGAACTTTGATTGTTTGTTACTAATATTACTTTCTTGAATAATAATTTCAATATATAGATATATTTATTAAATCAAGAGGCTGAACCATGTGATTTAAATGCTACAGATTATGTAGTACTAGCAGCAAAGAACGAAGTCGCTAGGTAATTTATTAGATTGTAAATTACTATTATTATTATTATTATTATTTATTGTTATTATTTTGTAATTATCTTTTAAATAATAATTTTATTATTTATTATTATTATTAAAGACTTGAAAGAGAAGTAGAAGATATGTTGGCAACAGAGAATGGGGCAGACGATCCACGATTAGAGGATTTGTATGACCGTATTTCAGCTTTAGATGAAACAACATTTGTTGCTAGGGCAAATAGTTTATTATATGGTTTAGGTTTTTCTCAAGTTATGATGAAAAAACAAACAAAAGATATGTCTGGTGGATGGAGAATGAGAGTAGCATTAGCCAAAGCATTATTTATTAAACCTACAATATTGCTATTAGATGAACCAAGTAAGTTATTCAATAAAATGAGAGTTTATATTTATATATTCACGTTAACAATTTTATATTATTATCATTTATTTAGCGAATCATCTTGATCTGGAGGCTTGTGTGTGGCTTGAAGAATATTTGAAGGGTTACAACAGGTAATTTAAAAATATATTATATATAATAAATAAATAAATATATAGATTAAGATGTCTCATAATGTTATTTTTTATTTCAGAATATTACTTCTAGTCAGTCATTCACAAGATTTTCTTGATGGAGTTTGTAATGAAACAATACACTTAACAGTTAGTTTTTTTTTCATTTTATTCAAATTTAAAAGTAAATTAAAATTAATTACTAATTAAATTTTTAAATACATTCCTATGTATAGGATAAGAAGAAATTAAATTATTACGGAGGTGGTTATTCAACTTTTATCAAAACTAAAGCCGAATTAGAAACAAATCAAATGAAGGCATATAATAAACAACAAGATGAAATTGCTCACATTAAAAAATTTATCGCCTCAGCTGGTACATATGCTAATCTGGTAAGTTATTATGTTAAACAAAAATGGTTTATTTATAATTACGATCAAATAAGTTCCATTAGAATCAAAAAATTTAATTTACTCTTCATTTACATTATTATTTAGGTCAGACAAGCTAAAAGTAAGCAAAAAATCATAGATAAAATGGAAGCTGCAGGATTGATTGAAAAGGTTTGGTTATATGAAATTATTTTATATCATGTCATGTTATCTACCATCAATCAGAATTTAAAAAAATAATCAATCATAATATATATACATATATAGGTGAATCCCCCTATAACTTTTAAATTTAAATTTGGTAATCCTGCTAAACTTCCTCCGCCCGTTTTGCAATTTGACCAAGTTTGTTTCTCTTACTCTGGGAAAACTTCAAGTAAAGATCTTTTGTATGAGGATCTTGATCTTGCTGTTGATATGGATTCTCGTGTAGCATTGGTTGGACCAAATGGAGCAGGTTTGTCGAAAATAAATAAATAAATATATATATTGTGTCATTTGATTTATTTAATAATCGTGATAATAATTAAATAATTTTTTCAGGTAAAAGTACATTGCTCAAATTAATGATGAATGAACTTCAACCAGTAAACGGAAGAATTTCACGTCATACAAATTTGAAATTAGCAAAATATAGTCAACATAGGTAAGAAATATATATATCTCTTTACTTATCATAGTTGATTTAATTTAACAAATCACTCACTTTTTCTATAAATTTAAATTTAATAGTGCCGATCAACTTGAAATGGACATTAGTCCAATAGAATATATGAGAAAAAAATTCTCTCAGATGGAAGGTGATATAGATGTAGGTTTGAGATTATAAATAAATGGGGGTTTTTTTTAATAACAAAAATTAAATTAATAATAATGATGTACCTTTTTAAATAGTTTTGGAGAAATCAAATTGGAAAATTTGGGCTTACAGGTTCTCACCAAACATCAAACATTAAAACATTAAGTGACGGATTAAAATCTCGTCTTGTTTTTGCAGAATTAGTATTGTCCAATCCAGATATAGTACTTATGGACGAACCGACGAATCATTTGGTAAGTTTCTAATAATAATTTTTCTAACACCAATAATAATTATTATTAAAAAGCATTATCTATTTGTTATATATTAGGATATGGAAAGCATTGATTCACTTGCAAAAGCAATTAAAGACTTTAGTGGAGGCGTAGTTTTAGTGTCTCACGATTTTCGATTAATTTCACAAGTTGCACAAGAGATTTGGTTATGTAAAGATCGTACGGTGACGCCATGGAAAGGATCTATTGAAGATTATAAGAAGTATCTTGCCAAAAGTGTTCTTAAACTTTAATAATTAAAACATATAAATAAAAATTATTTATAATAATAAATAGATTACGTTATTTAGAAATTATTATATTTTACAATGTATAAACAATTTTTTTAAATTGAAAAAAAAAGTATACGTTTAAAATATTAATTTAATAATAATAATAATAAAAAAAGAACGCCGAAAATTTTGCCTTCCCACAAATAAATAATAAGTAAATATCTCGTTAACCCACAAACACTATATTGGTATTTACAGGTGAGAAAAAATTACATAAAATAAATAAATAACTAGACTATATATATTAAGGGATGACGCAATTATGATCTCACCGTTAATAAATTAATATATATAAATACATCAAATATTCATTCCTATTAAGATAATTACTATTTTAAAATGTTTACTGCAAAGAGCAATGACAAATTACCACCGACTCATGATATTGAACGTGCAACGCGAGAACAAGAAGCTTTTCGATCTAAAGAAAAGATTGTAGAAGTTACTGGGGCACTTGGGTGGATATAATTATTGAGATTGATTATTAAAATCAATTATCTCGATAAACAATCAATTAACGTGGTTCATTTATTATTAATGTAGTGAAGGAAAATTACCTACAACTTCACAAATAAGCACTGCAATTGATGAAATTCATCAATCAGAAATACTACACGACGCAGCACGTGGTATGTCAGTGTTGGGTAAAAAAATATCGGCAGATTTGGAAAATTTTTTAGAAGCTTTGAAAATATTCTTGAAAGAAAAAAATCGCGGGGATGAAATACAAAATTTAGTTTATAATAGTAGTCGAGCAATTAATGGTACGCGCACACATATATTTCGTATATACATTGATTATTTATTTCGCGTGCGTTTTTGTTTATTTTCGGAATTTTTATATATAGTTAATACAAGTTTTTTTTTCCAACTATTGTTAATATAGATAATTTACCATCCGGTGAAGAGATTAAACAGGAAATAAGTGATATAGCAACTACTAGTAAACCTTTACTTAGCGAAGGAGTAGAAAAGACGTTAAATATATCACGATTGTTAATTTCAAGTTCAGAATTTCGTAAATTGGTTAATGATATTAGCACAATCGCTCAAGACATAATAGCCTATGCAGTAAATGAAGAACCAAATCAAAATAATGATAATTATGATAAAGAGAAAGGAATTGATGAAGCGATTACTGAAATAGGTCAAAAAGCACGTGAACAAGTATACCCTACTGTAAAAACAACAGCTAAAATAACTGAACCTTACATTAAGGACGCTAGTGAAGGAAAAACCAGTGTACAGGATTCTGCCAAAGAAGGATTAATGGCGATAACCTCAAATGTCAAATCTGTTATTTCCGGTTATCAACTTTCACCGAAAGCACGTGAACAGTTAATTACACGCTTCAAAAATGTGATGATCGAGTTGCAATACAAACCAGAATATCAACAGGCCATCCATGATTTAATAAATATAGTTTCTCAAATTACCGAGAAATCAAGTGAATTTGCCACTCATGTCGTTCAACCTATTATTGATGCCGCCACTGCTAGCAGCAGCACTTCCAGTAGCGATGACGAAACTCATCATCAACATCAACCAAGTCGATCAAGATCGTCAACACTAACACCGTCATCAATTGAAGTGGCAGAACAAAATGCAAAGGAACTTATAGAAAGATTTGCAAATAATCGATCATTAGACCCATTAATTTCAGAAATACATGAATTTGGACAAAAAATGGAAAACGATGATGATTTGCGCGAGTTTCTTAAAGAGCTTAAACAATTTGTTCTTTCCTCATTACTTGAAGCAAAATTTATTAAGAATCCTAATTATGTTCGACAAGGATTCGAGTTGATTGAAAGAGGACAAAGAATTTTATTAGATCATTATGGTGAATTGACTCGAAAAATCATTAATGAAGTTCTGGAATTTAACAAAGCGATGCTGGAGGATAAAAAGACATTGAAATTAAAAAATGATATCAATATCTTGATTGAAGATTTTTTCTTGAATGAGTTGGGTCATTTCACAATTAAATTTCAATTGATCAAAGATTTCTCAATTGTTTTACCTCGTCTTGCTAAAAAATTGGAATACATTCCTTTACCAAGATATGAATGGTAAGTTTTTTTCTTATTTTTTTTGGAAGAGATATTTTTTTTTATTAATAAGAAATTTAATTATTATTATTATTATTATTATTATTATTTTGAATATCGATTAGTTTTGATGAAAATGTAGAATTTATTGCTGATAATATCATTGTTCATTTATATGAATTTCTCCCAAAACACATTAATATTGGATTAAATGCTGATATAGATGTGGAACGACCAGAAGAAGATCGAGTTATTAATATAATCACAGTTGAAATGTAAGTGAATGAACAATTGAATATTTTTTTTAATTCAATAAAACGAAATCTTAATTAACATTAATATTTAAATATTCTTTATAAGTTCTAAATTTCATATCGATGCACGTAATATTGCATTTTTTTATAAGAAAAAATATGGGCCTTTTAAATTCAGAGATGTAAGGTGTTCAATATATGATTGATTGTCATTTATGCGTAACAAATATTTTGAAATATTTATTTATAATATACAATAGTTTGGATTTGTTGATTTTTCAATTCCACGAGATGGTTATGGACTAAAACTTAATATTAAAGCTAGATTTACCATCCCTACTGATGGTAGTAAGCCAATTTCAATAAAACTTGAGCAAAGTGATGTTCATATTAGTGAATTAAAATTAAGGTTCCATGATACTAAATACAAGTAAGTGGATTGAATATTTATTATTTTTATTTTTAAAATTTAAAAAATCTAAACCTAAATTTTTATTTGGCTTTTAAAAATTTTTTTTATTTAGGTTATTATATAAAATATTTTTACCATTCATCGAAAGAAGTTTAAAAGGATATTTAGAAAATGCAATCACCGAAGCTTGTCATCAATTAGTAGAAAAATTAGAAAATCAATTGATATTTGTTCAAGCACAAATGCAAAAATATCATAATTATAACAAAACTGATGCTGGTGAAGGTCAATCAGAAGATAAATTAAAACAAAAAAAGGCTTGGAAAAGTGGTGCCTTTGATCCAACACTTGGAGCTACGACTAGTGGTTATAAAGAAGAAGAATGGGTGGGAATAGGAAGTGTAGGAAGAGTACAAGAAGAAGAAGAAGAAGAAGATAGTGTCTCTGGTAATGATATTATTGATTCTGCAATTCCTTATTCGATTAATAAAACTACTGATAGTGCTAATGCTACCGCCACCATTCCCTCTAATACAGATAACGACGATAAAGTTGATGACGATAAAAGCTACTGATGATAAATAATAACTTGACAAGAGAAAGAGAGTGTGTATGAGAAGATTGTAAATGAGAGCGAAAAAACGAGAGAGGATAATATTTAAGACTTCAATTTAATTTAATTTGGACAATAAATAAAAAAAATGTTTTGTTTTTTATTATAAAAATGTATATTTGCAAAAAAAAATTTTTTTAATAAAAATATATAGTTATTATTATTATTAACTTTTTTTTCGTCAATATAATTAAAAATAAATATTAAGCGTAGTTCTTGATCTTCTAATATTAATATTAATATTGAATACTACCACCATTCCTTACTGGGGTGTTACAAATTATAATAAACACATAAAAAATCATATGTGCGGATTTTTCGCCGATCAATATATGTAAATTTTTTCAATATGAAAGTTCAAACTCTGTCTCCTCTAGATTTGTAAAATAAACCTTTGTTTAAATTTGATATATGAACATTACATAACACATACTTCAAAACAATGGTTTTATTTTTTTAATTTTTTGTTTAAAAAAAAAAAAAATCCTCAAAAAAATTTTTTTAAACAAGAATAATGAATAAATTTTATAAATTTTATAAAAATCTACAACCATTAAGTGAAAGAGCGAGTTTCAGGCTTTCGTTTGATATTATTTTTATAACTGTAGGTGTGATATTGGTGGACGAGATAGATTTTGAAATTTCGTAGAGATTTATTAATATAATGGATTTATGGTGATCATCGCGTTTTACACATTATATCATAAAACTAAAAAAAAAAGAAGTGCAAGCAAATTAGATTTAAATAATTACTTTAACTTGTATAATGTATAGATAGATAAAGTTGAAATCATGTAGTTACCCACAAAAAAGAGCAGAAGGAACAAATGGTAAATTAAATATTTTATAATTATCAAATTGCACAATGAATATAATAATAACAAATACTTATTATGTATGCTTTTTTATCTGTTACTCAAGTGTGAGAGCAGCGAAGAAAATTTCGGAGAAGAAGCAAGCAAAAGCAATTTTAGGAGAATATTTATTATAATTATTATTATTGTTTATTTTATTATTAATAAAAAATCCTTTCATATATATAATTTTTTATATATGTGTGTGCTCAACTATGTTTGTGTTTATACTAATGCGTAACACCCCAACGGGTGATGGCATGGGTATTCTGTAAAATAATGTAAAAAGGACGGGTTACTGTGCCATTTACCACCGTCCACTGTTCCTTTTCATTATTCGCGGGCAAACCGTGAAAAGGACAGGTGAAAGGTGTTTGTCATAATATTTTTTATCATACAATTGAGGCTAAAACTTATGTAAAATAAAATAATGAAGAATACAAATCATAATAGATGATAATAAATAAGATAATTAAAATATATAATATAATAATGCAAAATGAAAAGGACGGGGGACAGACAGGTGTGGATTGAACACGTCCTACATACTTTCATTTTGCATTATTTTATTTATTATACAATATTGCAAATATTAATGCCCGTCCTTTTTAAGGACGTGCAGTGATGGCGCAGCATACACGTCCCTTTTCACCCGTCGTTCTCAAGATTTCCCCATGAAGGACGGGGGACGGGTCACTGTACCACGCCCGTCCCTTGTTAATTGCCCGTCCTTTTTTATATATACTATTTTGCAGAGCACCCGTACCATTGCCCGTCCTTTTCTAGTATCTGTTTTTTTGTACCCTATATAATAATAGATTAAATAATTAAATAATTTATAAATAATTAACTTAATAAAAATAACTTATTTTTTTAATCGCCTAGTATGAGAAGGTGGGTTTGTTGTCGAGGTTATATCCGGGGTTGTTTTAGTAGTTGAAGAAGTTTCATTTCCTGGAACGGTTGGAAAACTAGTGATAGGAGATGTAATAGTAGGAAAGATTTCAATAAAAGGAATAGTAATAGAACAAGGAAAATGTTTTTTGGAAAGATAGAAATAGGTACGGTTATTGTCACTGCTGTATCACGTCTATTATCAAATTTTTCATCACGCTGATTATTAGAATTGATCGGAATTGCTTTAGGTGTTGATGTTGGTAGTATTGTCAATGAATGCGAAGACAATGATATTATTTCTTTGCGTTTAATTTTTAATGACCTTTCCTCTTTTTCTTGTTATTATTTTGTTGAAATCATTTTTTTTATATTCAATAACATTTATTACATTTATTATCACTATCTAAAAAATTATCAAAATCGTCAAAATCTTCATGGTTATCAACTAATTTTATTTAGAGAATTGAGAATCACTATATATATTTTTTTGCGATTAATTTATATAATTTATTCCATCATATAAGTCATTTTAATATTTTCAAGAAATCTTATATTTTTTACCGATTCGAAAAACTGTTTTCATAATATTAATATATAACGATCATTCATTATTACCGTGCCGATAAATTATATTAATAATAATATTATTATATGAATATTAATAATTAAATAGCAATTTGGATTTCAAAAAAATCAAGCTCTAGTTTATCACGTCCTTTTTTTTTTTTATAATAAATAAAAATTGCAATTTTTGCTCAAGTTATCATCTGATTATTTTTTTAAGATTTTTTATTTTGTAAACGGGAAAATTCAATTAATATTAATGACCAAAATCCAATTATTTTGTGGATCTCAGATTTATTACATAAATTTTGAAATTAAATATTTATTTCTAATGTTATATGATAATATGATAATATAAAAACCAAAATTATAATTATTTATACAAAATTATAATAAATAAATAAATAAAGATTAATATACTTCTAAAATGTATCTTTCTAAATCTTTTAATTTGTTTACCCAGTTGGTTGCTTCTCCTAGTGTCAATCCTCCTGATTTAACAAAGCTACCTACAATAGCATCTTTAACATCTGACACTGGCCATGTAGGTCCACACAAATAAAACCATCCTTCATCTTTCAATAAGTATTGGTGCAATAAATCTCCATCTTCCTCCATTTTGTGTTGGATATATATTTTGTGTTTTTGGTCACGTGAAAAAGCCAGTCGTAAATGTGTAAGCAATCCTTCAACATGATATGCCTCCAATTCCTCACCATAAAGATACTCCATTGAACGATGACGTGAACCAAAATATAAAATCATTGGTCCAACTTCAATGCCTTGTGACTGACGATATGCTCTTTCCTCAATAAATGCTCTAAATGGTGCCATACCAGTTCCCAAACCTGCCATAATTACAGGTTGTGTATCTCTTGGTGGGAGCTTCATCACTGATGGTTTTATTGAAACAGTTAAACTTTCTCCAATCTTAAGTCTGGAAAGATAGTGTGTACATTGTCCATATCGTTTTTTACCAGCTGAATTAGCCCATTCTACTGTCACAACCAGTAGATGTACACTGTTGGGATGCACACTTTGTGCTGAAGCTATGGAATAATGGCGTGGCTTGATTGGTGCAATAAGCTGAATAAGTTCTTCAACTGGTGGTCTTGCAGATGTAAATTCATATAACAGTTCTGCATATGTTATTGTGTCTTCAACACGTCGTTTAAACTCATTACTTCCCTCACTACTAGAAATCCACAACAATTTATTTTTTTCATTTTCATCAGTAGCATACATGGCTAATGATTCATAAAATTTTTTTGTTGGTCTGCCAAATATGTCCAAAACTTGTGAAAATATTTGGAAAATAGTCTTGGTCTCATATTTGTCACATTCTTTGTTTGGAACAGAGATAAAATCATTTGGATTTAATTTATAAAATTCCAAGAAATGATTAACTTCATATGTATCATTATGTCCATACACTCCAAGGGCTTCACCTAGTTCATATTGTAACCCTGTTCCAGATATATCAAATTCAATATGAAATAAGAAACGATCATATTCTAATGGAGTCAACCTTTTATTTTCAGTCACTTTAATAATATATGTTTTTTCCAAAATATCAGGTCTAACTTCCTCAACAGTTTTATATGCTTCTTTGAAAAGTAGATTGAAGGCTATAGAATGCCATGTGCTTAGCTTTGATTTTTCTAAAGTCACTATTGATTTATCCAAATTTGGTCCAAGTGAGTTATTTTGAACAGTGGTTGGCATTATTTGATCAGATTTTTCTAAAATCAACCATGTTGGTGGTAATTCAATGGATACAAGTGACTTTTGTGTTTTTTGAATTACTTCAGAAACCAAATTTACAATTTTATGTTCATCATTACAATCATCACTTCCATTACTAATTTCGTACAATTCAGCTATGCAACTCTCCAAACTATAATCCAATTTCAACTCATTTTTAATTAAATTGATAGTTGCAATCTGTAAAGGTAGAGATCTAATTGAATCAACATCAAAATTCAATCCTAAATCTTGAATAATCATTTCTGAATCAATTAGATAAAGTTGAATGTTATGTTTAGCAGCCTCGTATCTAAAATCATTAGGTAATTTAGTTTCCAATTCATCAACTGTCAACTTTGTATTTAATAGTACAACACCACCATTTTTAATACAGCTTAAAATATTATATTTGCTAGTTAAACTAAAATCATTTATGAAAATATAGTCAATGTCATTTTCTTCAGTAGCATAAATTCCATCAACAGGACTAACAGCACTGAATTGTAATTCTGATTTAATGACACCACCATTGTTATAGATATCATATGTAGATAAATTAGAAATATTTAAATTTGAATGATTTGCAAGTATGTTGGCTATGTGTTTGTTGACTGTGATGGTTTCTTGTGACTCAGAATCCCAAAATATACATCGATTTACACCCTTTGAAATTGAGGAAATGTTTATTTTTTCAGATACAAATTCATTAACATCAACAAAATCTTTCTTTCCCAATTGATTAAATAAAAATCCAATATTTTCTGAAGAAAGAGTATCAAATGATGAAAATTTAACATTCACCAAAGCTGGTAGATTATCAGTCCAAAGCCCAGAATTAAAAGATGCTACAACATCATTAAATAAACCATAATAACTAGCAGGATTGTCATTGACATGATTGTTGACCTGTTCCATTACACCAATCTGTTTCACTGTTTTTGGAATTTTTTCCAAGAATTTTCTTTCTGACCAAGGTCTGTATAATCTAACTACCACTGCACCAGATTTATACCCATCAATGCTTGACACAAAATTTTTAATAGCATTTATTTCACTACCAAGAACAATCAAAATTTTTTCTGCATCTTCAGAACCAAAATATTCAAAAGCATGATATTTATTTTGATTAGCTGATTTTTTACTAACTTTATTTGCAATCATTTCAATTATATTAACCTTATCATCATCATTATTCTCATCAAAAGATTTCAAGTTCTCTGTCATATTTGATAGTTCTTTATTTAACCTTAGAATGTTTGAGTATGATAATAAATTTATTTTTGTTGATTTATTTAAAACTTTTAATCCATCAAAAACATGTAGAAAAGGTGATTTTAAATAAACTGATGCCAAATGAGTTATCAATGCAATATCATGAGCTTCTTGAATTGAATATGAATTAATTATACCAAAACCAGTTTCGTGTGCAATCAGCAAATTATGATAATTCACATAATAATTCATCTGATCATCATTATCTAATGCTGATACATGAATCACAAATGGTATTTTTTCATCAACAATCCCATAGAAATTTGGTATCATAGGGATGATAGATTGAGATGATGCAAATGCTGAAATTCTCTTAACATTTGATGCAGCACCAAAAATCATGGTAGATGCACCAAAACGAGTATCAGCCTTTATTACGTGATTAATTTCCCCAAATGCATTATTGAGTGATTGTGAAGACCAATATAAACTTAATTCACCAAGATAGTGTGATCTTGTAGCTGGATAAATAAAAATAGAACTAGTTAAAGCATAAGCTACATGTTCTATGGCTGTACTACCATTCACAAGTTTCAATCCACCACCTTCATGAGTATTAATTTCAATGCCTATTTTTGATTTCAATGATAAAATTGATTTTGAAATTGAAACCAAATCATTATCATTGGATTCATTTGTTCCAATTAATTTTTTAATTTCAGGTTCTGATAATTGAGCAAGTTGATTAAGTGATAATTTATCAGCAATTTTTGTAAGTGTTGATATATTTGCTGTACTAACAAGTTGTTTTAATAAAGCAGCATTTCCAATAGCATTTGAAATATTTTTTGGTATATTTTCAATTATATTTTGTCTAAGCTTTTTAGCTATGTGAGGCCCAGTACCATTTGTTGAAATAGCTACTTGTAAATTTCCATCAC